TAATAGGCACATACAAGAGCAATTCAAGTTGTAAGCATAGATAAGATTTCGCCCAGTTGGCATAACAATCTCAGTTTTAAACGTGACTTGAAGTCTAGGCATTTCAACACATAATTCACATCCCTCTCACATTTTAAATTGCCAAGGATAGTATATTGAACACATTGAGACACACCTTTCACGCATATATAGTTGCAACACCAATCCATGTGAAATAACAATCAACACATCAATCAAATTTTAGTCTTACAACATTTGCATAGACACCAACAGAGCTTAATTTCTAAGAAGAGGGGTTTTTAGCCATACATACCTTAATAGAGCTTTCCTTAAATTCTTACAAAATTCCGGAAGTCTTAGCAACTTCGATCTATTTCATGACAATTACAAGTCGAACCAAAATTAGAGAGATGATTAAGATTCTAGCTCATTTGAGTATATTACCAAGCACTAAGTGTGCATTGTGATTTTAGGACCTTTTTGTGAGAGATTTTTATCATCCTACACCCCATTCGTTATATTTTTAGCTCACAATCTCCCCATACCCTATTATCAATCATGCATGCAAGATAATCAATCCATATACCCATGAACCCACTTGTTAATCACCTATTTTAATAGGAATTTCGAAATCAAGGATTAGGGCACAAGTACTTACCTCTTTGGATGAAGGCCTAGCAATTTTTTACTTGAAAATCTTCAAAGGTTTGGGCAAGGATTGCAGTGACTTGGTGAGAATTTGTTTCTCCCTCTAGAACTCCTTCTCTCACTCTAAATGCTGTAGAAAATAGCATAAAAGGATCTAATGGGGTGTTTTTAATGAGAGGGGTCAGGTTTTAAAAGTTAGAAAATAGGAGCCCCGACTAAATCTGCGGTCGCATATGCGACCGCATAACTGACATGCGGCCCGCAAAAGGGACCGCAAAATGGCCCTCAAAACTTGAACATTCTGCCCGGGTATGCGACAAGAATGCGGTCTACATGCTTGTTCTGCGGTCGCATAATGCACCGCAGAACTGCCCCTTGCAAAATTCCAAGGAGGTTATGCGATGACTATGCGGCCCGCATATTGATTATGCGATCGCATAATTGGCCGCATAGTGGACCTCAAAACTAACCAACATTCTGCCTCACTCTGCAGCAACTACGCGGTCCGCATTGCTATTGTGCGACCGCATAATGGACCGTGGAAATGCGCTTTTCTGAAAAACATTATTCCCTAACCTTTTTAATGCACAGATCAATCCAAAAGGTCCGAATCTTTGTAGATTTCAAACATATATTCCTAACTTGGCACTATGAGATTTCGGGTTGTTGAGTAAGAATTTCACGGGGCCTTACAAGTAAACCTACTGCACTTGTATCCTAGATCAACCAAATTACAATTGTTAAGACATTTAAGGAAAGTATTAATGCGAGAATTTTTGATTGGCCGACCTCCAAACTTTTTAGATGCCCGGGTAACCTCATTAAAGTCACCACCCATCAACCATGAGCCCTGATAATGGTCCGAAATGCATTGGAGGTTTTGCCATAAAATTCTACGATTTTCTATGAGGGTACTAGCATAAATAGCTGAAAATAAAAAAACGGCGGGGAAGAGATTTTACTTCCACCATGCAGTGAACTTCTTGGTTCGTAACAACGACCTCCTCTACTAGAAGTAGAGTGTCATCCCACAAGACCGCAATTCCCCCTGAATTGCCTTCAACTGGTGTGCATGACATGTTAGTGAAATTAAAATCATCTCGTAAAGGAAGATGATTATCGAGATGAGTTTCCAGAAGAACCACAAGGCTGGGATGATGATAATCGAGTAAAGAGTGAAAGTTTCTTCGAAAGTTAGGAGAGTGTGCACCTCTACAATTCCAAATAACAAAATTCATATTATGATTATTTGGGGGGTTTGTGTGTGTCTTAGGACCTTGTGGGATCCCCTGACCATTCTCTACCGTCGCTTGCGGCAGTGGGTAAAGTGTAGGAATGAGTACTAGAGCAAATTTCCCCACGTCGGGATTGATTGTCGGACGAAGTTTGATCAAGCATTTTTTTAGATTTGGCGGTCAGTTAAGATAAACCTTTTTTTGATACGGCTCCTTTAGGACCAAGACTTGCACCCTATTGAGGTCCCCCCCAATTATGTGTGAGTTTTCCTTAACTCCCCTGCCAAAGCTACTATTTCCTGCTGGGTCATGCCTTCTTGTGTGGGCGGAGGAGGAAGAAGGGCAGGTTGTGGAACATTGAGGTCCAAAGGGCTAGTTGGTGATTGAGGAGGCATCTGCATGGGGGTGCAGATGGTCGTGTGTGGGTGAATCCAGGGGACTTGGTAAGTCCCTGAGGTTGGGGTTGGATAAAAGGGCATCTCCCCAACTTGCACTGGGGTCGGAGAAGCCAAGATTGATGGGCTTGGGTATAGGTAATAGGGGAGCTGTTGGTATAGGGTCTGGGAGGTCGAGGCATTGTACGGGTTGGTCATTGAGGGTTGTTTCATGAAAGACTGGTACTGGACATATGTTTCGCATCCCAGTCTCATCCCTTTCGTCACGATTTATGCGAGGTCCATCGGATTTTGTATCATGATGAGAACTTCCTGATTGTTGATCTCCATCAGGAAAGTTAGAGCATGTCCCAGTACCCCCATCTCGAGCCAAGATTGAGCCGGAGCATGGTAAGGATAGTTCGGAGGATGAAGAGGCATGAATAGATATAGTGGAAGGAACTGGAGTGAGATTACTGTCTAAAAGGTCATGCACTATATGAGAAGTAGTTGGTGAAGAGGGAATTGGATGGATTAGCGGTGGATTATTTTTTGGGCTATCAGATGTTGGGGTTAGTGAAGTAACATCATGATTGCCCTGGGAAAGCGCATTGTGGGCTATGGTGATATCTGTTGCGGAATTTTGGTATGAAGAAGATATCGAAGGATTGTTTTTTGAGTCTTTTGGGTTTTTCGGGCCTTCACTGTCCAAATTATGAGTGCCAAAGAAGGCTTGGACTTGGCCTACAATAGTAGGGGTAGTCTGCAACTTGGCTGGTGTAGAGGATATTCGTATCCACAGTGGAAAGTGTAGTATCAGATACCGTCTAACTTTTCTATAACGGTCATCCTCTATAATAACACTTTACTATAACAAGTTCTTTTGGAACCAATTTTTCAAATTATATTATAGTATATGTTCTCTATAATAGTACTTCACTATAACCAAAAAAAAAATCCGGAACAAAAGAGACTATTATCGGTAGGTTTGAGTGTATTGCTCATCCGATATCCGTATTTATTTTTCCTCTGAGCCTTATTTATTTATTTATTTATTTATTTGTAGTTAGACCGACTATGCTGTATGGAGCAGAGTGTTGGCCTGTCATGAACCCTCATATCCAGAAGATAAAAGTAGCTGAGATGAGGATATTAAGGTGGATGTGCGGGCATAACAAGTTGGATAAGATTAGGAATGAAATTATTCGGGATAAGGCGGGAGTGTCCCCTGTGGAGGATAAGATGCGGGAGGTGAGGTTGAGATAGTTCGCGCATGTTAAGAGGAGAAGTATAGAAGCCCTAGTTAGAAGGTGCGAGAGGTTAGCCTCAGTGGGTATCAGGAGGGGTAGAGGTGTGCCTAAGAAGTCTTGAGGAGAGGTTATTAGGCGGGACATGGCGCAACTGGAGCTAACTAATGACATGGCCCTAGATAGGAGGGTGCGGAGGTCGATGATTAGGGTAGAAGGTTAGTAAGTAGTCAAGCGTTTCTCTTTGTGTTACTCCGTTCGCTAGCATTAGTGTTAATATGATATTCTCTTATTCATAGACTGCTATTACTACATAGAGTTTAACTTCTTTCTTGGCTCCGGTCTTTTTTATCTTGTTGTTATTCCTACTTGTTGCCATTGCTTTTTTTTCATCCGTTCTCCAGCCGAGGGTCTATCTGAAACAACCTCTCAGCCCTTCCAGAGTAGGGGTAAGGCTGTGTACATTTTACCCTCCACAGACCCCACTTGTAAGAAATTACTGGGCTTGTTGTTGTTGTTTGTGTCGATTTAAAGGGAAATACTTAATGAAACTCTAAGGCCCAACTAATGAAATTTGTACTGCAACATTAGTAACCAGGCTTAAAGAAGTTGAAAGGCCCAAAGTAGTTGGCGGCCACTATCTTCTTTGGTATTTGGTGTAAACGAAAGGGCAATAGGCCAATACTCAATTCGAAATCACATGCAATACCAATAATAATTCCTCCTTTGTTTCATCTGGAAAATGTAGCTATTTGAGGTTTTCTTTCCATTCTATTGTCGAATGAGAAAACAGCTCTAGAGGAGAGCATATGGACGTTCAAAACAATGTAAACTGCACAGAGGTGATAAAGATGAAGAGTATACGATCTCTACATTAACAATAGTGCATTTTTTATAGCAACCAGTAGCGTAGCCACATAGAGTAAAGAGTGTTCAATGAACACCCTTAATCGAAAAATTATACTTAGTATATAGAAATTTATATTATGTATATAGATTAAATTATATTTTATAAATATATATTAAATTTTGAATAGCCATTGCAAAATTCCGGTTTTTGAAATGGTTTAATCCAACAAATTGGCATCAAAGCCGATAGTTCATTGAAAATGTGAAGATGACAGAGTAGCTCACACGCTCATAATTTAGAGACAAACACACAAGAAGAGATTTATAGATGGCGACAAATACTCAAATGATGTGAGCGTTACAAGTGTATTTTTGTATAAGACTATTAATCTTAGTGATTGGTCGTTTTGTACTTAATTAATTTGAAGGAAATTTGTGCAAAGAAAAAAAAAAGATATAAAATGACATTAAAGTCACCGTTCTGGAAATGACTTCTTCGAACATAATAAGCAAGTTAAAAAGTGGTTTTATCAAATTTGTAACATATACCGACCATGTATCCCAATAGGGAAGTTCTCAATGTCCGTTGAGCACCAGAATTCCCCAAATAAGAAAAATTTGGTCTAATCTTGAATTCTTTTCTTTGAATACCACTCTTGTATAATAATTCTTGCTTATTTGTCCCTTGTAATTTACTTTTGGTCATAATAAGAAAAGAATAAAGAGGAAAAAGAAAAAGAAAAAGTAGGAGAAGTGTGGCCCATTATTTCTCAAACGAACAAAACGATCACTCTCTATGTATGTGGTTATTGTAGTTTCCGCCACCCTCAATCAGCCAAACCCCTCTTCATTTTGACAGAAAATTCCCTCATTTTAACACACACACACACACTCTTTCTCTTTTCTCTTCACTCTAACAATGGAGAGTTTAGCACTTTACTCTCCATCTTCAGCCACCTCCGCCGCCGCTGCCGCCACCACTTCCTTCTGTCGTCTTTCCTTACACCACCACCACCATCTCCGATCACGCCCCTCCTCCATTTCCACCGCCGTTCTCCGTCCATTTTCCTCCCTCCGATCACCTCCATCCGGCCCAGGATTCAATCTGTCCGGCCCAAGATTCAATCTTTTTCATCCCAAACCTTTCATTTTCAATCCCCTTTCAAAACCCACTTCCAAAAATTCACCATCTCACAAACCCATTAATGCTTCCTCATCTCCTGACCCAGATAAGGTAGTTACTATAGATGCAAAGCCGAAACCCCAAGGAGCAAAGCTCATTCCTTTGATCATTTCTGTTTCAATTGGGCTTATTGTCCGTTTCTTTGTTCCAAAACCACCTGAAGTTTCACCTCAAGCATGGCAATTGCTTTCCATTTTCCTCTCTACCATTGCTGGTTTGGTTCTCAGCCCATTGCCAGTAGGGGCATGGGCTTTTCTTGGGCTTACAACTTCAGTTCTCACCAAGACTCTAACTTTTACTGCTGCATTTAATGCATTCACTAATGAAGTCATTTGGTTAATTGTGATTTCATTCTTTTTCGCTCGCGGATTTGTCAAGACTGGTTTAGGGGATAGGATTGCCACATATTTTGTTAAGTGGTTGGGGAAGAGTACACTTGGTTTGTCCTATGGATTGACCCTGAGTGAGGCTTTGATTGCACCTGCAATGCCTAGTACTACTGCTAGGGCTGGTGGGGTATTTTTGCCTATTATTAAATCTCTCTCACTATCCGCTGGAAGTAAGCCTGGTGATCCCTCCTCCAGGAAGCTCGGTTCTTACTTGATCCAATCTCAATTTCAGGTGACCTTTGCTTTTTGCCTGCTATATATATGTGTGTGTGTGTGTGTGTGTGTGTGTGTGTGTGTGTGTGTGTGTGTGTGTGTGTGTGTGTCACAGAACTAGGTGTATTTTAATAAATACTCTGTGGATGCTCGAATTGGTACAGGCTAACCATGAGGAAATTTGCAATTTCTGATTCTAATATAGCAACGGCTCTATGCCTGAGAGATCTTTGTCAGGGAACTTTGGTTTATCTTGAATTTGCAACCGAGACATTATGCATTTGATCTAGTATTACTGCATATTCTGAATAGTGCATATGAAGTGATTCCAGTCCTTCCCGATTAGATGAGCAATTTCCTTTTGTTGAATAAGCATATTCATATGAAATTGATTATTTATTAGTCTAATAATAGTAGCTGTGTGCTTAAAATCAGTATTAAGTCTGGTTGAGAGTTGAGGCATATCAAGTATCGTTTCGAGCTCATTTAGCAATTGATGTTAAATTGCTTTATATCTCTATAAATAAATGCTTTACCGTCTGCACTCTTTGTGTTTATTTGCAGTTATTTTATTTTATATCCGGTGAAATTTGTATTGACAGTATTGATTTTTGTGTGTGCATGCATCTCATATTTAGCAGAGGAATATAATCATTTATGCCCTCCTCTCCCTCCCTTTGATTTTTTGGCTGATTTAGCAACTCGGCTAAATATTTTTGTCTGGTACATACGAATACTATATTTTATGCAGCATTAAAATTTCTGAAGAGTACTAGTTTACCACCGCTCTAGATGTCCATGCACTTACAGATTGCTTTTTTTGTGGTGCATGACAGTCTGCAGGTAACTCTAGTGCTCTTTTCCTAACTGCTGCAGCTCAAAATCTACTCTGCCTCAAGCTAGCTGAGGAACTTGGGGTTGTAATCTCAAACCCATGGGTGTCTTGGTTCAAGGCTGCTAGTTTACCTGCATTTATCTCCCTTTTGGCTACTCCATTCATCTTGTACAAGCTTTTTCCTCCTGAAACCAAAGATACACCAGATGCTCCTGCTATGGCAGCTAAAAAACTGGATCTCATGGGTCCTGTGACCAAAAATGAATGGGTGATGATTGGCACAATGCTTCTTGCAGTATCTCTGTGGGTTTTCGGGTAGGTATCATTTCTCAATTGATGTTGATACCTATAACTTGCTGTGCTTTACCTCTTTGTGATTTTGATTTTAGGTAAAAGTTGATTATTAAGGGTAGAAAATAGTTGCAATCCCAGACAGAAAGGATGAGGCTGCAGAGAGGCAGTAGGGGGTCTGTAATTGTGGTTACGCACTCTCTGTTTTTGCCGATGATTTCCTTTTTTGTATTTTTACCAAACACAACACCAAAATACCATTCTTCTTCAAACCCTTCCTGTTACAGGACCATTTTGGATTTTCTCTAATCTGAGACTTCTGAGAATAGTCAGAAGCTTCTGAAGCATTTATAATATGTCATCACTGACTACAGTGCGTATGACTTGTTTATGGGTTGTGTTCATGTGGTCTTAATGTATTTAATTTCTAACACACTGACCTTTATATTGTTCCCAGTGACGCTCTTGGTATTGCGAGTGTTGTTGCCGCAATGCTTGGCTTATCAATTCTCTTGCTGTTGGGAGTGCTTGATTGGGATGACTGTTTAAGTGAAAAATCAGCATGGGATACTTTGGCTTGGTTTGCTGTCCTAGTTGGCATGGCTGGGCAGTTGACAAACCTTGGTATTGTTGGTTGGATGTCTAGTTGTGTAGCTAAATCCCTCCAATCTTTATCATTGAGCTGGCCAGCTGCATTTGGTGTTCTTCAAGCGGCATACTTCTGTATCCACTACTTATTTGCAAGTCAAACTGGCCATGTTGGAGCATTATACTCTGCATTCCTTGCTATGCATTTGGCATCTGGGGTGCCTGGTGTATTGGCAGCCCTGGCTTTAGCTTACAATACTAATCTATTTGGTGCTTTGACACATTATAGCAGTGGTCAGGCTGCTGTCTACTTTGGAGGTATGTCTCTCCTCTTCTAGGTTCTTTAGTTGGTGTTTTGCATTCAACTAATTCTGCTTGGTTATATCTTTTGTAACAATTGCTTTTCTCAGAGAATCATCGTTAGTTACTTCTGGGGTGACAACGTGAAAATTATCCATTCACTTTCTGTTCGCTGATAAGAAAATGAGCAATAAAGATTGCAATTGGGACAATTCATTGTTCTTTCGCTGTTTTAGGATCTTGGACTGACTCTATTTTGTTGCTTGTATGACAGCTGGTTATGTAGATCTCCCGGATGTCTTCAAAATGGGATTCATAATGGCACTCGTCAATGCTACTATATGGGGAGTCGTCGGGACATTTTGGTGGAAGTTCTTGGGTCTATACTGATTCTTAGTTTTTGGTGTAAGTAGTTTTTTTCCCAGTTATACGTGCCCTTTCTGTTGTGGCATTTTAGCAACGTCCTTGAAATTATTGACTCCAAGCTGAAGTACAATCAGCATTTCTCCATTGTAACATTCTTAAAACATGCGGATGAAAAAAGTTCTGTTTTTTGCGTTGAGTCAACATTTAGGAAGTAGAATCAAAATAATATCTCTCTCTCTCTCTGGTGAATGAGTTACTAGTGGATCTCTTGCTACGGTACTACGTTTTAGGTCCTTCATTTACCCAGCCATGGATCATTTCACCTTTGCAGTTTGAGTGGCATGAGTGTGAATAAGCACAAGGTTAGAGTATTCCAAGAACAGATGCTAACACTTGAAATAGTAATCTTCTATATTTCACTATTGGAAGATGAAAAGGATGTCGGACGAAAGTAATGAAAGGATCAAAATCTTCATCATTCTAAATTTTTTAATCTATGGTCTTACAACAATCAAAAGAGGCAAAACTTGTTATTGTCGTTTATACTGGACTGGTTTCTTCCAAGTTCCAACCCACGAGTAATAAGCAGAACATTTAAGCATGTAATGAAATGTGGTGCTCTTTTTTAACCTGGAAAACTAACAATATATCTGCTAATCATACTCAGAAGTGACCAGGCAATTTAACTGGATACAGGCTACTAATGACTACCTACCAATTGATCAAGCTAATAGCCGTTGCATCTGAATTACTACTAGTATTTGATTTTGAATGCTGAAGAAGACTTGGACTTCTTCCATCAGCTAACAGATCCAGCTCCTTGCCTTCATTGGGGATATGTGCGCACTAAAATGTTGGACCCGGTTCTTGGCTTGATCTATAAGAGATGCTGTATAACAACATTTGAGGTTTTTTTTTTTTTTTTTTCAGAACTGATAAGTAGTAATTAGAGCCGTCAAAATGGGCTTGGCCTATTGCCCCAGCCCAGCCCAACCCGTAATTTAGCAGGGTTGGGCTAGAATTTTTGGAGCCCATTAAAAAATGGGGCTTTTAAACCCAGTCCGAGTAAGCCCGTGGCCCGTGACGCTTGATTGAGACTAGGTTGGGCCGTCCCGTGGGCCTAATAAAAATATTTATTTAAAATATAAAAAGTATACTGCCTCTAGCGATGGAAAGTCAGAATTGGATCTTTACTTAGAGGAATCAAAGCTTGATTTTGAGAAGTTTCAAGAGATGGATGTTGTCATGGGAAAATTTTATTTTGTGTCTCATACAACTAACATTAGTTGTATTGTAACACTCCTCAAATTTATAAAAGTTTCGAGACACGCTAATTATTGAACTAAATTATTGCTATTTTTATTATTTTTATCTTGCATATATATATATATATATATATATTATTAATTATTAAAAGTGGGTATCACTAATTATTAGTTAAGTAAAAAATAAAAATAAAAAAGGGGAAATGGCCTGAAATTATGCCCATAGAGAAGTGGCTTATGTGATGTTGTGGGCAACAAAACACGGCCCTTAGCGGTATCTTCCATTTGGCCCTTAAAAGAAACAGAAACTTACGTTCTGATTCATCGTAATAAGACGCACATACGGGTCGTGGTGAAGGCTTTGCCTTAGACCGCAATGAAACAGAAGTTACGATACGATCAGCGACCTTATCTTATGCACAGCAAGGCAACGCGCAACACATGCTCAGGGTTTCTTACAAATTCACATATGAGTTTTCTCCTGTACTTCAGGTAGTTAAGGCTAAAGATTCTATTTTCAATTATCCTAAAGTAGTAATAGGTAAGAATTGAATAGCTAATTCCCTTCTTCCTCTATATCAACAATAAATTTCATATTTAGGTGTAGTACTTTAAAATTGATTAAAATGCACTGGTTGTTGTAGAATCGATTGTTTGACTGGTGTCAATTGGACTGGGCCTACGTATTAGCTTGAGAAGTTTTGAGGTGAGTTGATATAACTCTTTACTAAAGTGGTTTAACTCACAAAAGCATGCACACAAGGTGTTTGATGAATTGCATAAAAGAGTTATATATACTTAATTGGAATAGTAAGCACCTATTAGCTTAGAATTATTTTCTAGCTAAAGTTTAGATGATTATTTGGATATATGTGCATAAATTTCAGATTTTTATGTTATTCTTATATGCCATTTTCATGTTGAAAATTCATGAAGGATCAAGAACCTTTATAAATACTTTTGAATGTTTATTTCATTCTTATGTCATGCCTTATATTTAAGGATATCAGTGTGAGTATGTATAAAAGAATTAGACTTGAAAAGTCACAAGAAGAAGTTTTAGAAAGAAAAGGTTTTTGGGAGTTTTTTTTATTCTGAGAAGGGGTCATCGTCCAGGCCTAGGGTCCTGACCAAGGCGTTGACTTCCTGAAACTACTTGTGCCAAAGTAGGGAGGACACGAGCCGAGGGTCTCGTTGCTGAGAAATTACTTAGCCATGCTAAGGTATGATACATGAGCGCTGAGAACCATGAAGCGAGTGGCACCTCGTGGATTGGGCCTATTCGATCAGGTTGGGATCGAACCCGTACCGATCACACGGTGACTGAGACAGAATTAAGTCGGGATAGTTGGAACTCCCAAAGTATAAAGTGAAGTATTTTTTTCATAAGAAAGAAAAAAGAAAAGAATTTCTTTTAGAATATTCATAAACTGCTATTATGCGATTATTTAGAATTATTCTTATAAGCTTTATGTTTTACATGCATTTAGAACTTTGCTCATAATGTATATGTTATTAAAGTTTCGCCCCCTGTTGTTGAAGGTACAACGTAGGAACCGGATTTGCAGGCGAGCAAGCTACGAGTTAGGACTTCCTTCTCTTCCAGTGCTATTGGTGAGCTCCGCTTTTGTTCGTGGAGTATTCCTTAGAGTCATCTTTATTTAGTTATTTCTTTGTTACTTAGAGAACTGGCCAGGAAATCTCATGTCCTGAGCAGTGCGTCAGTTTATCAGTAGAGGCTTTATAGACACAGTCGTTGGGTTAAGATTCAGATGTTTTTGATAATAACTTAGAAATATTTCATTGGTTACTATGGATAAAGTTTTGGAGTTGATTTATTTAAATGTTTAAATTAAACAAAAGTATTTGGTTAGAGTATTTCCTTGTTGCATATAAAGTTTGGAGTTATAATAGATTTTATAAGCAAAGATGGTTCGCTCGGTCATGTTTAGTGATCGAGTGCCGGTCCCGGCTTGTTCAGAAAATGGGTCGTGACAAACTTGGTATCAGAGCCTCAGGTTTATGGAGTCCTAGGGGTCTATGAAGCCGTGTTAGTAGAGTCTTGTTTATGGGTATGAAGCGCGCCATACTTATAAACAGGAGGTACAAGCATTTAGGAAAAATCTCATTTTTTGTCATACTTTAGATCGTGCAGTAGATCCTACCTCTAAGAAATTATCTAATGTATTCGTTTCTCCAAAACTCGCAGAAATGGCTCGTACTCGCAACTCTGACACCGACACTCAAGATGCTGCACAAGAAACTATTGCTACTATTGTGGCTCAAGGCAGAACTAAAAAGGCTTCAACTCAGAAAAGGAAGGGTAAATCTACAAATGGGGTTCAAGTACCCCGGGTTGAACATGAAGAAGGGGTGGAGCATGATGATCCAGTACCTCAGGATCCAGTACCGCCCCCACCAGCAGCTCCGGCTCAGACAACTATATCCCCAGAGGTGGGTCAGATGTTTAATGCAGTCAACAGTGCTATGGAGATGTTTAAAGCCTTTACGGCCAACCAGAACGAGAGAAGAGATGAGATTCCAACTCAATCAAATAGACAGAACAATTCTGAGTCCTCAAGAGTGAATGAATTTTTGAAGTTGAATCCTCCAGTGTTCCAGGGTTCTCTAGTTGATGAAGATCTGATGTTGTGGCTGGAGGGTGTCAAGAAAGCTCTCCGAGTGATGAAAGCATTTGATGATGAAGCTGTGGAGCTAGCTGCTTACCAGCTTAGAGATGTGGCCGGCGCTTGGTTTGAGATGTGGGAAAATGAAAGAGATGAAGATGATGGTCCGCCTACTTGGGAAGAATTTGAAGAGGCCTTCATGGCTAACTTTATCCCAGAAGATGATAGGGAAGCTAAGGCTACAGAGTTCGAAAAGCTCAAGCAAGGGAATAAAAGTGTGCAAGAGTACTACATGGAATTCATAAGGTTGGCTAAGCATGCTCCTCACATGGTTAAGAAAGAAAGAGCAAAGATTCGCAGGTTTGTTGGCGGTTTAGTGATGTTTTAGACGTCAACACCACACAAGAGGGGGGTGATTTGTGTGGTACCTAATTTTCGCACTAGAAGAACCTGGTTCTTCTAGGTGTTCTAACTTCTACTATTTGCGGAATTAAAATACAGAAATAAAGAACACAGAGATTTTTACGTGGAAAACACCTGGCTCAAAAGGTGAAAAAAACCACGACCTACTACTCAGTAGGATTTTCCCAAACTTCCACTAAACTTTCAATGAGCCAAAAACAGCATTTACAAAACTCTTTGTAAACCTAAGGATTAACTCTAATCCTAGTGTAGCACACAGCCTCAACTGTTGCGACACTTTCAAGTTAACTCTAACTTGAATACTCAATGCACCTAATACAATTGCTTCTAAGAAAGCTGGAAAGGTACAATGTTAAAACACCTACTACAATTGAACTAGAAATAAAGAAAGACACAATGGAATTGGTTCTTCACACTTAGTTCTTGTAGCTTCAGATTTGCACACTTGTATCACACACAAATTGCTTGCAACAATCGCCTAGCTCTTTTGCTCTCAATTTGGTTTAACTTCAGCTTATGTGCAATCACATGTTAAAAGAGAACAATCGTTATATTTATAGAGTTAGTAATCGGAGTTTGATAAGAACACGAATTGTGGATCCTTTGACAATTCGAGTCCAAGAACAACTCTAACTCCTAATCCATATTCTTGATCCGAATGTAATTCTCTTTTCATAAGGAGACTTCAACTCCTTATCCTATATAAAATCTTTTCGATCAGTTCAGAAGATATTCATCAAGATATTGCTGCTTGATCTCAAGGACTCATCTTCTTCACGTGCATCTCATGTGTATGGGCCATAACAACCGTGTCTCCTTAGATGAACCTGGTCCTTCATTGAGTTCGTTTGTCATTCTTCAAAACTTCAACTGATCTTGGGCCAACAAATTCCCCCTTTTTGATGATGACAAACTCTGTGCTTTTACTGATTATAGAACCTGTGGAACTCAGCTAAAATATCATCACTCAAAAAATTTTACTTATCGTTAAGGGCCAGATTTAATTAGGTCATAAACATCACTGTTTAGAAAATAGACACAATTTCTTTTAAAGCACAATATCTTCCCCCTTTTGGCATCATCAAAAAGTTGCATAAATATGTGAATCCCAGAATATTAATCATTACTCATGGCCACTGGGGCAACTGCAAGTGAAAGCATGCTTTAGATAATCAAAAATCAACTTGACAAAAATAACTATTAAGAGCAGAATCATCACAAAACAAGAGAAATGCAAATTGTCATTATAAGGCATTGCTTCTACAGTACAATCCACAAAAAGAAAGAACAAAAACTACCAACCATGAGCAAAAACAAGAAAAATCCCTAATCTGGGTCACTGGGGGTAACTGAAATGGTTCGGAACTAGGACAAAGATGGCTAAGGCTTAGAAGAACTGGAGGGTTGGGATTGGAGTAGGTTGAGCATTGTTTGTAGCATCCCTTCACTCTTTTCCTTTTCTTTTGCAAGTTCTGCCTTCAGCCCATTCCTTTCTTCTTCCAATTCAGCTACTCGAGCCTGAAGCCTATCAATCTCAGCACCTTTGGTCCCACATTCTTGCATCAANCTATTATGCGATTATTTAGAATTATTCTTATAAGCTTTATGTTTTACATGCATTTAGAACCTTAGCTCATAATGTATATGTTATTAAAGTTTGGCCCCCTGTTGTTGAAACTCACTGAGTACAATGGATGGTACTGATGTTCTCTTTTGGGAACCTACGTTGGTCTGCGGTACAACGTAGGAACCGGATTTGCAGGCGAGCAAGCTACGAGTTAGGACTTCCTTCTCTTCCAGTGCTATTAGTGAGCTCCGCTTTTGTTCGTGGAGTATTCCTTAGAGTCATCTTTATTTAGTTATTTCTTTGTTACTTAGAGAACTGGCCAGGAAATCTCATGTCCTGAGCAGTGCGTCAGTTTATGAGTAGAGGCTTTATAGACATAGTCGTTGGGTTAAGATTCAGATGTTTTCAATAATAACTTAGCAGTATTTCATTGGTTACTATGGATAAAGTTTTGGAGTTGATTTATTTAAATGTTTAAATTAAACAAAAGTATTTGGTTAGAGTATTTCCTTGTTGCATATAAAGTTTGGAGTTATAATAGATTTGATAAACAGAGATGGTTCGCTCGGTCATGTTTAGTGATCGAGTGCCGGTCCCAGCTTGTTCAGAAAATGGGTCGTGACATGTATGAGGTAACCTTTTTGTCTCACAGTTTTGTGGACCCAGATTTTTATGGACCCAAAAGTGTAAGATTGGGGTCCACAAATTTGTGAGACAAAAAAGAGCCTCATATAACTAGTGTCAGTTATATGAGACACAAAATAAAACTTCTCGTTGTCATGTATTGGAAGAACCACTCTAGAAAATATCCCGATCTTTCAGTGATGGCGCGTGATGTACTTAGTATTCCTATTATTAGGGGTGTCAATGATTTAGTTCGGCCAGTTATTTTATAAAGTTTGTACCATACCAATTTTTCGATTATTCTATTATGTATAACCAAAATTAAACTTTTCGAAATCGTCCCAATGATGTCGCTTTCTCTTCGATATCGGTACGATTCGGTTAATCTTCGATGTTTTTTAAATATCATGTAAAAGTACTTTTAAAAGTAGAATGCAATAATATACATACTTTTATAGGACAAAGCAAAGCTCTCTAAACAGTTTTATTGTTTAAATAGTGATGAATTAAGAAAATATGAAAAATGCCAGAGTATAGATCGGTCAGCTACTCTACAACAACGTAAAAGAAACTAAGCAAAGACAAAGAGAAGATAAATCACACGAGTAGAAAGATATTAATCAACTGGGACTCAAGAATAAATTCTATAGAAGATTAATTATTCAAAAATATAAATCTAAATCACACGAAAGGAAACATATTCAATACACTGTAGTTTGCTACTCATAATCGCTAGAATACTTTGTGTCTTGCTAGTAAATATGCTGGAGATAATTTAGTTTCATTAGGAGTAGCATAATAAGTTTGGGAATTAGGATTTTGATTTTAATTTCTTGTTCGCTTGTAATCATTTTCATAATTCCAAGGCCCAAGGAAAAATTTAATGCTTTATTGCTTTTAAACTTAATATATAAATATATTTTTAACATGTAAATTTATTCGGTACGGTTCGGTATTTTTTCGGTTTATTTTCATAAAATAAAAAACTACCCTAATTATTGGTATAATTGTAGATTTATATAAAAACCTACGGTTTTATTAAAAGAAACCTAAAAATCGGTTCAGTGCGATATGATTCGGTCCGTTTAGTCAGTTTTGAAATATCCATTGACACCCCTATCTATTATCATTGTAGCATCGGAATCAGCATTTAGCATTGGTGGGTGTGTTCTGACAACGTAGAGAAGTTGCATCCATCATGAAAATGTCCAAAAACTTGTTACTACTCGAAATTAAGCTGCACGACTTTTCCCAAACTCAAACTGGTAATATTTTTTTATGTGAATTTGAATATTATTAGTTTTTAAAATTTAATTATTCTTAGTATTGAACTAATTAATGTTGCATATGAATTGTAGATGTAGATGAAAATGAAGATTTTAAGACAACCTTGTCACAAGCGAATTCAAATGTGTTCGATGAAGATGATGTATTGGATATAGCATAAGAGTCAAGACGTATTGAGTTTTAACTTTTAATGAATGAAATATAGTCTTGTCTTTTACTTTTTAGTGTTTATTGTGATATATTGGAACAGTATAAAAAGTTATTAAGTTTTGCAAAAAAAATTCAATAAGATTGTAACAGCCCAACCCGCTAGTGATATTGTTCGTTTTGGGCCTAGGCCTTCACGGGTTTAAAACGCGTCACTAGGGTCTAAGGCTTGTTAACTTATATATCCAACATCCCTCTTGTGTTTTGCCGATGTGGGACTCCGTCTAAAGTCTGGGGTGTTACATACACCCCCTCTTATGGACTCAGCGTCCTCGCTGAGGTTTGCCCCACCGCATGGGATTCGCTTAGACTCAGCACTGAGGTTTGCCCCGCCTAACCGGGATTTGCCTAAACTCAGTTGAACTATGACCCACCATCGGCAAGGCTGACACAAGAGTGTCTCTAATACCATCTATAACAGCGACTAAGGTTTGCCCCACCGCATAGGATTCGCCTAGACTCAGAACTGAGATTTGCTCCACCTAACCGGGATTTGCCTAAACTCAGTTGAACTATGACCCACCATCGGCAAGGCTAACACAAGAGTGTCTCTAATACCATCTGTAACAGCACAGCCCGCTAGTGATATTGTCCGCTTTGGGCCTAGGCCTTCACGAGTTTAAAACGCATCACTAGGGTCTAAGGTTTGTTAACTTATATACTCAGCGTCCCTCTTGTGTTTTGCCGATGTGGGACTCCGTCTAAAGTCTGGGATGTTACAAAGATATATTTTAAATTTTAAATATTTATCTTTTTTTAGGTTAGAACTTAATGAAAAATATAAAATTATATTTTAAAAAATAATGGGCCAGCCCGTGGGGGTCCGCGGCCCACATAGGGCTAGGTTTGGGCTGACCATTATAAGGCCCATCAAAATAATAGGCTAGCCCAACCCAACCCGTCAATTGCTAAAGCCCACGTGGATTGGGCTAGCCTGGCCCGACCCATATTGACAACTCTAGTAGTAATATTACAAAATTCTGAATTGTTTGGAAGAAATAATCGGGATATTTTTAAAAATAGCCAAATTTACAATTGGTCTTTCAAAAATAGCCCAATTTCAAAAGTAACCGAAATTTAGCCACTTTTTATGTAAAGATAAATCTGAGCGAAAACACTGTTCAAAACCCGGAAAATACTCCAGTATATTATGCTGGAGTTCCAGCATAAGTATACTTGAACTCCAGCATATTATACTGGAGTTCCAGGATAGTATGCTGGAACTCCAGCATAATATGGAGTTCCAGCATAAATACACTAGAACTCCAGCATAATATACTGGAGTTCCAGCAAGTATAATGGTCCAGTATAATATACTGGAATTTGGAGCACCAGTGCTCCAGTATATTATACTGGAGCCAGCAAAGTATACTGGTCCAGCATAATATGCTGGAGTTCATACACAAGTGCACCGAACTCCAATATATTATGCTGGACCGATCTCTATTGCAGCAAAACGATGGCTATTTTTCATTGACTTGGTAAACGCTGGCTATTTTTGATTGACCAGCCCAAAAACTGGCTATACCGTGAAATTCTGGCGAAATAATCAGTGGCCATGGAAGAAAGTATGGAAAACAAAAACTCCAAGCAAGGTTGTTTGGTGCTTGTTTTTGTTGATTAATAAAATAACAATTGGTTATAAAAGAACAATAATTCTGAATTCTTTTGCTCCAATGTCAATAAACGTAACATATTAAGAAAGAAAAGAATATTGGCACATGATACATGAGCTAACAGTATAGAAATTGCATTTCCATATATGAGAAGTCAATTTAGTCAAGATGCTGCAACTTCCGTATGCACACTTCTCAATTTACAGATTTTGTTAATCGACTGCAATTGCTGATGAGCATAGGGGTACCTATCAATCATGGTATAAGTATTTCATAGTGATTTTCTTACCTTTATGATCATTTTTGGTGTTACACAGTCGTGAGATGTGGTACAGGTATATATATATATATATATATATATATTAGAGAGGGGGGGGGGGGAATCAGCAATCATTCTAGTTACCTGTTCTCAGGATACAGATTGAACTTCATCAGCATATTGAGCTTCCGGTGCTGATTACTTCAGGGAATTCGTCTAGTAAGTTCAACTTCTCAAGGATTAGTTTTTCTTGCTTGGCGTCTATAATATGTGTTGTCAAGAATAACATATGATATGCAAAAACAAATGAATATGACGCATCTATAGAAGGACCATTTGCTTAAATATATAACCCAACTCTGCTATATATGAAACAAAGAGAATAAACTTCATGCTGACGAGCACCCCAAACATGAAGCCAATTCACAAGCAGATTGGAAATAGATTTATTGAAATACCATCAGGCAGATTATGACAAAAGGGTAACTTAATACACAAACTAACAAGAAACAAGTTTACAGTACTTTTTATGCATTTTCTGTGTAGCTTGGATGTTGAGGGTACGGCTCAGAGGCACAATATTTACTAGGTCCTCAACATAGAAAATTATTTCAGCAACTTTGGCACTAATGACTGAACACACTCGCATAGAAGTAAATAAAATTTGGTTAGAAGAGCTCAATTTCAAAGGTTTCTGCGTCATGATTCATGTGCATGCAAATAAGAAGGTGCCATTAGGATACATTCTTGATCAGGATTTTCTGCAAAATTGGAGTGCAGTGCATTCCCCATGCTGTCCACTATAGCCGAGGTAGTCATGGACGACTCAATGCATAAGATGGCAGTGATGGCATCCAATCTAGTGACCTCATCTCTAAACATCAATCTTGCATGTGCTGTAATATTCCATATTGGTTCTTCAGAATAAGTCACAAATAGATCATATAGGGCCAAACCATGAAAAAAGCTAAAGAGTCAATGATACACCTTGAGCAAGTCTTATCAGACTCTCCAGCATGCGCACGGTTGTTCTTGCTGCAGATGTTCACAGTTGTTAAGTGCATAGCCATGCAAAAATCAGAATATTTAGTGACAACAATGATGCCTAGTGACCTGCATTTTGAGTCACAGATCTTCTCTGCAGTTGGTAATAGCTTGAGATAACCTTTTCTGCCTCCTTTGTGAGGACTGGTCTAAAGTATCTCTTCACAAATTGGATGTACCTACAAGATGTCATCAGAAGACATAACACTGCCATCTCATCAACAGAATGTGATGGAGTAATTGCTGTTGAAGATTTTCTTTTGCTGGAGGTAACATGGTAATAAAATGGGAGAACACAAATAACTAAATTAGAATAGATCTTTTTCTTAGTGTCATGTGGATTTCCATTATGCTAAATTGTTTTGATAAGTTGCACTCACCGGCACTGCACAAACTGTTCAGGAGCCCAAGACATATTTTTTATAAGGTAAAGTAGGAGCCCGAGACATTAATATGATTAAACTGTTTTTCTAACTATCAACCAAAGCCCAATGTACAACACGTGACATGAAAGTCCCGTGACAATTCAGACACTCAAAATCAGTGCTGCTAGCAAGACTATGGATATGCTTTTAGACTTTAATTTTTTGGCTCCAAAATGACTCTTTAACCTTTTTGTTTACTCGTACATGCATCTCAATTGGAGACCTTCCAGTTTTAACGCTTTTAAGAAAATTCATGCTAAACAACCTTCTCCCAATAAGAATTAGCATTAAATTAAAAAACCTTTGTAGAATTAAGAAATGTGAAAAGAGCGAAATTTTTGCATGTTGCTTTACGTAACTCAGTCTTGTACCAGCTTCTACAAAGGAAAAAGAATCACCCATATTGAAATGGGGGGGGGGGGGGGGGGGAATAAACTAATACTATTGGTTTAGGCAATACTTGGAACTATGTCAATAATCATTTTTAGGGACTTATCTCATCTTGGCCAGTTTCACTATTATTGATGTGCAAAAGCACATGCATACTCTCTTACTGTTCATGAACAACGTTAATAATCATATTTGGGAACTTATCCTAGCTGAGTCTTTATATATAGAAGCAGTCTAGCCAAAGTGGAAAGAGACCACAAATAGACTAGTGGAGTAGTAGTTAATTAAAGATGAGCACATATCAGATATATCAGAATCCGGATGGTTGTTGAGAAGTATTTTACCTTCTGAGCATTGGAAGTGCCCAGGTACTCCCAAGATCCTCTTCAGAACTGTGGCTCTTTGTTTCTGCCTTTCAATCACATAAAAAAGCATTTTCATCCAGCTAATTGACGCTTCATGACTAAATAATAATGTATTCACATTGTTTCAGATGTATCACCTCAGCAAGGATATGTGAAGAAACAACAGCATCCCACTCTGGGTTTCTAGTGTCTAAGAGAACTAGGACTATATCAAATCTGCTCAGCAGCGGGCCAGAGAGCGTCGTATTAACAGATAGAGCTAGCTTGAGTTAAAAACATAGAAAACAAAATGAGATGGGGAGCAAAGCGTTTAAGATGCCTGATAGAGATTCTAGCTTGCACAAAGATGAAAGGTAAAAGAATAAAAGAAAGAGGACATCAAAAGAAAAGATACGCTGATCCTTGTCATATTGCCCCTTAGGGTTAGTTGCTCCAAACACAAGTGTCCTTGTACTGAGAGTTGTCACCAGACCAGCCTAGAGATTAACCAATCATCAAGGATCAGAAAAGGATTCATCGAAGTAATTAAGAACACTAGAACAGTAGATATTAGGGGGACGGGAAATAAGGTGGCAAAAGGAAGAAATAAGAAAATATCAAGAACTCGTGACCTTGCTAATCATGTATGTATTGGTACTTTACCAAAAGAAGAAAAAATTAGGTTCTTCGAAGAATGATATACCTTTGCAACACTTATAGTCTGCTGCTCCATTGCTTCATGGATGGTTGCTCTATCATGCTCCCTCATGCTGCCAAACGGAATTTTATGAGTCAACATCAAATGAATGTGTAGGATAACAATACTGGCTATATTTAACAACAAAAAACAATCTTCAAATAATTTGAATCAACAACCTTTATATAACCGTAACTAGAGTGCAGACTGTACTTCAAGCCACACAAGTTATATCAAAACATGGGGAAACTGAAAAAATCAACCTAAGACTCCAAAACAGCTGTGAGATACCTGTCAAATTCATCAATGCAACAGAGACCACCGTCTGCTAATACAAGTGCACCAGCTTCTAACATCCACTCTCCTGAAAATATAGCACGCCTTTACACTTGATGATCAAATAACTGTACATATAGGTCAAAAGATTATCAAGAATAAATGCATGTTTGGTTCGCGTGATGGGAAGGTATTCCGATGGTCCGCTCATATTGTTTCTGGATTTAAAAGGTATAACAATCTAAGTTATCCTTTTTTGATGAAGTAAGATGTTATATTACTGGCATCAAGAAGATGCAAAACATTACAAAAGAGGTTGGTTAGCTCCATTTACACAAAAATACAGTTCTAGTCAGGAAGCTAACCAAAAGCACCAAAAACCTAAGATTGGCTATCAAGCCAAAGACAGAGCTAATAAAATCTAGAAATGGAATTAATTCATTTACAGGGGAAAGGTTGCTCCAGCTATATAGATTCCTAAGGCACTTTGCTTTCAGGGAGCTGTTGGGAGTTGATATGCCATCAAAGCATCTGCGGATTCCTTTCTGTCCAAATACACCAAAATATACATGCTGAGTTATCCTACATCTCTTTTATTTCAACATAACACATTATATAGTCTTACAGTACTCTTTTCTTTATATAAAAAAACAGATCATTTAATCCTAGCGGGGTACTAGTACTAACTCAGAACCAGGGTCATCACATTTGAATTCAGCAAGACTATTATGCCTTTAAGTCAGATTAACAAACCATAATACTACCTAAACTTCCTTTGCTTTGTACAAATTTTTATTGATGTAAATTTTATGAACAGAAAATTTTAGGTTGTTATATGCTTACTTTGATTCTCATGATGCAAGTAAAAATGCTGTTCTATATAAGAATTTAAAGTGTTTTAAGGTTAGAATTATTCCTAATAGTAATATACACTTTTGTATTACTTTAAACACTCGCTTCCTAGTTTCTCAAAGATGAAAAACAAATTTGATTAAATTTACTTTCTTCATTACGGGAGATTTTGATTAGTTGTTTATCATCTAGCATTAACTAAAGAGGATGGAACCATATCAAAGTATTCAACATATGCAGTGGATTTCTGAGGGCAATTCATTTGGGAATGCCCCATCCTACTTTATCCAGTTTGTGAACTGAAAATGAACTAGCATAAATCTCAAACAAATTACATGCGTCACTTTCCAATAGAAAAGGATTTAAAGAAGATTAGAGATGTAAGAAGAATTCCCAGCAGTACCCAGTAGAGTGCGCCAACTATTAGTCTTAGTTTCATCGGAGAATTAATGTATATGGGCTTGGTAATTTAGGAATGAATTAGTGTTTTATGTGAAATTACCTCAATGTATTACTTCATCAAATTCGTTCAAAGTTTAACACTCCCTCCGTCCCAATTTATGAAACACTTTTTCCTTTTTGGTCAGTCCAAAGAATGACATTTTTCGATTTTAGTAACAATTCAACTTTAAATTTCAACTTTAAATTTCCCTTTTTACCCTCAATGAAATGATTTCTAGCCACAAGTTTCTATACTTTTTTTTAGACCACAAGTTTCGAATTCTTCCTTTATTTCTTAAACTACGTGCCCGATCAAACACCGTCACATAAATTGGGATGGAGGGAGTAGTACTTTAGTCAAGAACAACAACAATTTCTATGTTACTCTTATTGTAGCTCTTTTATGCTTCACCTGTAAAATGTGATGGCAGCTTCCTCATGCTCTCCCATCACATCAACTGATCTAGTGAAGGTTCTCATGCCCTCATGTCATTAGATAATTGGTCATACCCTATGAATGTTGAACAAGCAAATGTTCTTGTCTCTCTGTTTTTTCTTTTCCTTCCTACTCATATTCTAGCTTATCTTTGACTACCTTTGCCTTTGCTCTTAGCTTATTTCCTCTGATGCTATATTAATCAATCTATCACGATATCTGATGATATCTCCATGTTCCCGACATCAGTGCTTAAGATCCTCTTTTAAAAAATGGAAAGTATTCTCCAACTTGAATGAACTTGGATTGTGATTGCTTTAGACAATTAAAATTTTTAAGACTTCAGGCTCCATGTAACTGCAACTTTATATGCGAATTGAATTTTTAATAAAAGCAAGATTTGAAACACTTATGTTTATGTCTTGCCAATCTCAACAAGATTCACGAGGAGAGAGGATGAACTTTCACCCTCCTTCCTTTCCATGGGAAAAACCAACTAGTTTAAAGAACTCAAGCCCATTACTGATAGAGCTGGTAAAGGACTCTGCGAGTGTGCGCGTGCATGTGCATGCATGAGTGGCATCATGACTGTCTCTGTGAGAGTGCTGCGATAGAGACACAGTTTCCTAGTTCAATATGATCAAAGCAAATAGATAGAGACAGCTTCAAACTTCAACATGACAGCTATTAGTGAGTAATAAGATAACAGGAACAATCTACCTCCATCTTTAACTGCTGTAACAGTCAATCCAGCACTAGTGCTTCCCAACCCAGTCGTTATGACAGATCTATTGCTTAATTTAGCAGCAAACTTCAGAAACTGTGACTTCCCAGTACCTGACAGGAAAATAAGCAACCATATTATCTCAATTGTGACAATTTCCCAAAATTCAAATGAATATCATGTTACATAAAATGTCACCACAACCATGAAAGAAGGAAAAATCGAGTATACCAGCTACTATGCAGCACAGTAGCGCTAGACACAATTAAATGAGTGCTGGAAGAAGTGAAAATCCCTAAATATAACCATTTGCCTACAAAGAAGATATACTCCAATCTTGATTCAAAACATTTAACATTAAAATTCATTACCAGGATCACCAACGAGAAGCAAATGAGACTCTCCTCTAACTTTTGTTCCAGAAGCATCAACATGTTGGACACCTCCAATAAGCGTCAATGCCACTACATTGAACTCGAAGTTGGTCATTGGCCAAAATGGTAAAGGAATTATCCATCATCATTTGGACAGATTGAATTATACATTAACATCATAGGGGATACTTTTCACGATGCACAGTTGCTGAGAGAAAACCAAGAGTAACACAAATTCCCTCTACTTTATATCGAACAAGTTAAAATTATAAATTAACAATTAGACATGTGACATCAACTGAAGAGGAGACACTTGCAGGGGCCAATACCTGCAAGCTTGACTGTGAAAAGTCCAAAGACCTGTGGGCAAATACCTTTCAGAATCGCATTCCTACCTGCGTTTAGGAATGAAAGAGAATAGAAGGAAAAGCAGGTTTGAGACCCAAGTACTTTTAGCAAGTAATTTAAAATCCAACCTGTTCAAATAATTTTTACCCTTTAAAGGAGTATCTTTGAAGTCAGTCCAAAAATGCTTGAATTTCAGAATAGCATCATCAGGGATATCGATTTCTGACTTTAGCTCATTCATTCTCCTGAAGATACATTATAGAAAATACATGAAGAGAAAGACAGTTTATTTTATGAGAAAGAGTCAGAAATGTATTACCTCATCCAAGCAGTGGTGGAGACAAAAGGTGAGAGGTCAACAAAGCATTCCACCTCTAAGTTTAAAAAGTCATGTTTTGCTTCACGTAAGTTTTTGAAATATTTTGAGAGATAAAAGTGTACATTTGCTCCTGATACTTTTTAATAAAAACAATTATAATATTGTTGTATATCTCATCTAAGTTTAAATCCTTATTTGGCCATTCCTCCTAGGATATAAGATTCATTAAGCTCTACAAACATCACAATGCTACTTTAGCTTGGGAAGATGACATATTCAATTAATAATATCGTATATTTCTTCACCTATCAATCAAAAGGAAAGAGGAACTACAACAAGATCCTGGAGAATGATCACCTTTCTGGTAACAAACTCAGTGAAAGAATTCAAAGGCAATTCTTCATACTGTGAGCCCTTCATTGGGACTCCCCTATACTATCAATGAAAGGCCAACTACATACTCTCATCCAAAGTCTTCGTCACATCTAACCATGCTTTACAGTATGAAATTGCTGTATCTACTGATCAATGAACCAACCTAAGGCTTCGAATTACTCTACTTCTCCTTTAATTTTTTTTTAATTTATTTATTTTTATTTTTGATAAGGTAAGTTGTTTAATTGAATGGCATCAATAAGATGCAGAGATAACAAAAATAAATCTTTAGTGGGGGAGGGGAGATGGTGTAATAAAACCATGCTAGTACTTTTATGATGAGAAAAAATCCACATCACCTGAAACAATGTTAAATGAGAGGAAACAAAAAAAAGGGTGACCTGCTTCTGTTTAACCCAATTATTAACCATCCTTCCCAATTGATGAGATATCAAGCAGTATCTAACAGTTTAAATGGCACTTTCTGAATTCGTTCTCAAATTAAATTGACAAGGATCGAAGGCAAAATGAAAAAAGAGGGAGATTGAGCTCGCCATGGTTTAGCGGGTGGCTCTGCTACTCTAAACAACCTAATACTTCAAGACAAATCAAAGTGATGCACTTCATCTCAAGCAACAGCAATGATTTGTACAAAATACCAATAATTCGCATTCATAGGTTCTGCAGAAATAATTGGATAAAAATCCTTTAACTATCCGGATTTGACTTGTGGTCACATAAAATGAATTGAAATCATTCTCAAAATAAACTGAGTGTACTCCCGTTACCTTACATGGTTAGCAATTAGCACTGGATCAAGGTCACAGCGAACATCTTTTAAATCGGGGGACCATTTGGCAGTTAAGATCCCAGTGACAATCACATCATCTGACGACATTAAAACATGGCAGTAAATTAAGGACAAGGAAGAAAATGTGTATCAAGCTTATCATTGAAAAAGAGAAAGAAAAGAGAGAATTGTGTCTCATTAGGGTAGAAGGTGAATTAACATAAAATAACACAGAATAACGTTGCAAATACGCAGACTGACATATTAACTACCTCCATTACCAAAAGCAACCTATTACCATTCCAAATTCAAAACACATCTTAACTTTGACCTTGATTACTCAAACAAATGCTTAGAAATTTCAATTCCAAAATTTGTGGCGAACAGGGTACTTCACATTAACAAAAATTTTCTATAAAATGTGAATGATAAATGTCCTAAATTAGACTAAACATTGATCATTTTGAACCATGTAGGATGGAGGGGCTTAAATCTTGGTGTCATCAGAGCATAAGATGTTTTAGTATACTCCATAGTTAAGCTAGCAAGGGACAGCTAATCAGCCCACACACCTCTATTGAACTGCAAACAAGCTAGTTTTAAGAAAATAGTACCTCCAGCTTTAACCATGTCAACAAGATCATCCTTCAGAATGACAGGAATGGAGCGAGGAATAGCCCCAACACCCAATACCTGAGTACTTTCTTGGATTTTAATCTCCTGATAATCATGACAGATCTTATTGTCTTCTACAAGCTGAAAACTTGTGCTTTCACAAAACTTAGGCCTCTGTAAAAAGAACTTTAAAAGATTATTGATTTTCTTACAAGCAGCTGGTTTTAGAAAATGATAAACCAAACTGGATGAAAGTTAACGTAAAACCAACATGGAGAATGGGAGGGAATAAGGGTAGAAAAGGAGAAAATAGAAATTCAAGATTGAATAATGAAGTACAACAACACTGCACATATAACTTATGAGGCAGTTTGGATTTTACTGTTACCAGCATGGTTATCAGAGGCGAAAAGCATAAATAAGCGCCAAGTATCTGTTGGGTCTTTAAACAGAAAGCACAACATTTTCACACGATGTCTGAAATTAGAGGCAACATACAATATCTTAAATATAGGAGGATACCATACAAAACATTCATTCGTCTCAAGTTTGGTATCAATTTCAAATTTTTATTATTCCAGTTCTTTTATCCATAAACTCAATTTATGGACGTATTTAGCTTCTAATGCTTAACTTTCTTGTAATTCTCACACTTATGTGACTATTAAAGGAAATCTGATTATACAAAAACTAGTATAGTGTAGCTTATGTTAATACATCCTCATGTTGCACCCGAAAATTTATTCTTTTTTAGAGGCCATCCCGGTGCACTAAGCTCGCGCTATGCGCAGGGTCCGGCAAAGGGCACGACCAGCTTAGTTCACCTGCACTAATCCACTGGGCGTTCTGCTATAGCCCACAAATTACAATCCAAAATTTCATACTTGGCCAAATCTGTTGCTAGCTATCAAGTTTCTCAAAATAAAATGTGGTAGAAATTCATATCTAACTAAAATGAGCTTCTCTTGTCGGGACAAATTGCTTACAAAATTACCCATACCAATCTACTTCTAGTTGAATACTTTGTAACAAACAAAAGTCTCAATCACATCAGTTGACATGATTGAATATGTAAAGTTCTTAAATTCAGTGGGACAGATCTAGAACTGCTAAAGTATGAAGCATATTTCATTCATAAGAATTCAATATGACTGTCCTTAATTATTATAAGGTAAAGTATTTAATTAATAGAGCAGTACCAAGAAGGTACCAAAAAGTTTACGAAGGATCGGGATTCTAACAAAAACTACACTGTAACATAGTCCAGCAAATTCACGAAATCGGAGATGTTAATTACAGAATCTCCTCTAAGCCAACAAAATAATCTCTGTAAAAATCCAGAAAGAATTCAATATGCCTGTTATTTGTACTTAATAGGGAAAAAATGTAGTTCTTTTTCCACTCTAAATTAGTTTGAAATGCTTTGCGGTATTGCTTACTTACATTTAGGTATGCTATTTTTAGAAAAAATTCATATTTGTGATTTTCTTAACCAGAAAACATAAATATGAAAAACAATCCACCTATTGTATTATTGTTAAATAAGCTGCCAGAAAAGGTATTCAAGTGCAATCCCATTGCATCATACCACAAAGCAACATCAATTTTTCTCAAAGTTAAAAGTAACTAGGAAACCCAAAAGAAGAATCTAGTTGGAATTCACATAGACCGTACTCTTATGAGATAAGGCTTAGAGGAAATGTGAATGTCTACAGATGTATAGCAAAAGCAAAAGAAGATTAGAAAGAGCTTTTCTTCCACGCGTAATCAAATGGAAATAAACAAAATCTATTAGCAAAATCAAAGCATTGCGCGTTTGTCCACACAAAAAAATAAGGATAGTTGGGAACAGACCTGTGAGGGACAAAAAATTGGTTTTGGAATTGAATTCCTAGTTTCCACCTCCGGATAAACCTTGAACCTACATAAAATTTCCTTCTTAGCCAATAATCTGTTAAGGGTAGATTAGCATAGGGTAAAAGCTTGACCATGTAATCTTGCCATAAGACTAAATTGAATTCTTTGGTACAATCAGTTAAAAGGAAAGCCAAAAAAATGAGTGGACGTTTTGACCTCAGAGTGATAAAGAGTTGTCTAAGAAAATTATGATATAAACAAGCAAAATCACTTTTGTAGCAATTTTTTTTAGGCATCAGAAAAATGCAAGCCCCAATGTGAGATATGGAAGTCTGTTTTTGACATAAGCATATCCCCTGAGAAGCCAAAATCTGGCAAATTGAAGGTTTTAGCCTAACTTATAAATTTGGATTACAGCAAAGTTTGCTCGGCTTTGGATTACTGCTCGAAAGTTAGTTATGTTAAGCAATATCTTACACAGCCTACTTAGCCTATATAGAAAAGGAAGCATGTTACCTATTATTGTAACCAAACACATCCTACATGATTATAGAAGTCAGAACAAAACGGAAGTTTAACCTACAAAATTAGCCTGTTGGAGCAATATACAGACTCTACCAACCGAATTAAGCATGTCTGTACTGAGTTCAGTCCCATAAAGGATTAATTAAAGCTGAGCTCAACTTTTTAAGGATGCTAAGAGCCCACATAGTCTTACAAGGGAATCATCCATGTTCAATTACAATTACTAAATGTCTCTTTAATAAAAGATGAAAAATGGAGATCTGTTGCTAAATTTGTAATTGCTCATTCTGTTGTTATCCCTTGTTCAGGAATATCCCAACCCCATGCCACTTATTTGGCGACCCAATATTGTTGAAAAACCAGATGAGCACCCTTAATCACTTGGCTCTGTCTCCATGTCTATCAGGTGCAACTATTTGTTTTGTTAGTCAGAGATGTCACTGACAAAGAAATGAAAATAAAGGAGATTAAGGTTGAGGAACAATTGTGGTAAGTGAAAACTACGGCAATCCGATTCTAGTAGAGAAGTTATCTGGCAAATTGGAATTATGATTGCAAAGATAAGACGTTTTTCAGTTGAATTATGCCATGCTAATTTCCATTCGAGACAAAGTAGAACCAATTACCTTGATTAGTTTGTATTAGACTTGATAAAATAAATCAATGATTCCATTAAAACTTCGTGAATATATCTCCATGATTTTGAACCTAGAAAATGGTTGGAAGAATTGAAACTAGCAGAATGACTAGGTGAGAGGCACACAAGAACAACCTGTGCTTACATCGCCGACACTCATATATCCTCTCCCCTTCAATCATCTTCACTGCTCCAGACCTGATTATAGTCCCTTTGATAGTAAGAAGCATTCCACGATGCTTCACCCTCACGCGGCCAATGCTGGGAAATGTCTCTAAAACATTACAAAAAATGACTAAGTTTGATATTACAAGGTATACTTTCTTTGAGAATGTGATATTACAAGGTCTGCTTAAAACTACATTGCACTGAAGCATTATATAGCAAGGGTAGTGAAGGATTTATGACTTGGACACAGAAAAGAAATAAGCGAGGAATAGCTCAAAGAATACTACTAATATGTACTTTTTGTGGTCAAAGCATGTGCATTTACATGTGAAAATTGTAAAAATTTCCAGTATTGGGAACATAACCAATAAAGTTTAACTTTTATACACTAATTGTCACGTCCTTAGTCGTTAGCTAAGTACACGTGTGGCACTTAACAACTCGCTGACGATCTTGCACAACTTGCTCAGGTTCTTGCTATGCCAAGTCAGTCTTGCTACACTCAAGATCGCTAAGGGAATGTTAAAAAGAACACAAGAGAATTGCTAAAAGAAGCTTTGTATTAGAGAGAACTTAAATTGTTTGCTTGGTGAATTACAAATGAATGGCCCCTTTTATATACTAGTCTCCTAGGGGCTAGTGTGTAAATATTAATTGTTGTGCAAGTCCTTAATATTTACAAGATAAGGGCTTTCTCTAGAATTCTCTACAAGCCTAGAAGATTCCAAGGACTTTCCTACCAAATTCATAGGGATCTAGGGTCTTATAAAAGAAATGTCCTTACTTCTCTAGAATCTTCTCACAAATGCTAGCCTTTCTCCTATGTAAGTTTCCACATGGCATTAATATATGCCAAATGGTGCCTATGTGGCATGATGACGTAGCGGGTCATCACACTCTCCCCCACCTAATGCTGTGACGACCGCGGCGCAATGCTGCTATATAAACTCTCGGATCTTATCTTTGAATTGCCATAAGTCTTCGTATCGTTCCCACGTGGCCTCCTCCGGTGATTGCCCCTTCCAATGGACGAGGAACATAGTGGTGGCTTTCTGCCCTTGTTTTCACCTAGCTTCGTAATCAATGATAGCCTCAATGGCTCAATCTCCCGATCATGCGAGGTGGTGATAGTAATAGGTGCTCAACTTGATTGGCCCCTACTCGGATCATCCTTGTCTTCATGATATGGCTTAAGCATGCTGGCATGGAAGACAGGGTAGATCTTAAGATACGATGGCATGTCAAGCTTGTATGAGATCTTGCCTACCTTGGCGACGATCTTAAATGGCCCATCATACTTGTGAATTAGATTTTGATGCATGCCCCATAGTGCCTTGAACTGTCTTGGATTAAACTTCACCATGACCATGTCCCCAACTCTATAGTCCGTGGGACGCCGCTTACGGTCAGCAAACTTCTTCATCTTCTTAGCTGCCTTATCCAAGTAGGACTTAGCATCGTCAAGCTGCTCCTCCCATCCTTTGGCCATATGATAAGCCCCCAAACTCTTTCCCTCGAATGCGACTGGTAATGAATGTGGAGTTTGTGGTTGTTGGCCTGTGGCTAGCTCAAATGGTGTCCGCCCCATGGACTCTCTCCGCTGCAAGTTATAAGAGAATTGGGCGATGTCTATGAGCCTTGCCCAATCTTTCTGATGCGTGCTTACATAATGCCTCGAGTAGCATTCTAGTAAGGCATTGACCCGGTCCGTTTGTCCATCCGTCTGTGGGTGGAAACTAGTGGAAAAGTGCAGTTCCGTGCCAAGTATGTCGAATAATTGATAATCGGCTTAAAGTATGTATATTTTGATATATATCGCCTCGCATTTGCTCTTGTTCCGATGATTTGAGATGTTTAATATGATGATTTGTGCTAAATTATGGTGTTTCTATATGTAGGAATCATTCGGATGCAATTTGGGATGAAAGGGCGCGAATTGGAGCGAAAAGGCAAAAAGTCAATTTTGAGGGCCACAGCCAGCGTGGGGCGCTCGTTGTGGCCCAGTTTCCAGTAGTCAATTATTTTGAGCGCCAGGGCCAGCGTCCCACACTGCCCTGGACGCTCGGATCGCTAGAGCGTCCTATTTCGACTAGGACTCGGTTATTTCGACCCTAAGACGCCTCTAACTCATATAAAAGCCAACCAAAACCTATTTTGAGGGAGGAGGACGTTTTTGAGAGGAAAACACAAGTATAGAGCCGCCGTGGAGGCCGGAATTCATCAAGTTCCATCTTTTCTTCCATCAAACTTAGTAATTTTTATGTTTCTTTGTATGATTTGTTGTTTTGCTACCATGTCTATGTGCAGCTAAACTTCACGTTCTAGGGTTGTGGTTCATTCATGACTATTGTTATTCGAATATTGATTTTGATTTCTTGATTTGTCGTATTAGTTTATTTATTTAATCCTGCACTAAATTATTTAATTGCTTGATCACCAATTAAATACTATCTACGAATCTTGAATTGAACTCGAAAGTAGGAATTCTATATTGCATATAGGATTGAGTGAGCAAGTTCTTGAACCTGGGCATCGGGGAACGCATTTGCGGTTAGGATAGACATATACCTAATTGCTTTGCTTGGTTGAAATACAGGAATTATAAATGCATTCTTGTTAATCTTAATTCCATAGACATATAGGAGTTAGGTTAGCTTGAATAGGCGAGTAAGAACTCGACAGATTCTTATGAGCAATATTAACCCTGTCAACCAATAAACCAGATAAATTAATTAGTCAATTCAATTGAAGAATACAATAGGATTATTAGATAGCCCATAATCCTAGATCGTTTTCATTACATTGATATCATAAAAATCTGCACTTCCTCAATTGAAAGTTCATTATTTATATTTTTTTAATTTAATTAGTTTAGAATCAAATATTTCTAGGTTTAATTCTTGTGTAGATAGTTAGGATAGTCTAATTTAGTTAATTAGTTAATCACAAGTCCTCGTGGGTTCGACATCCGACTTTTAGTCACTTTATTACTTGATGACAGCGTAAACTTGCGTGTGCGTTTGGCCGCAACAAGTTTTTGGCGCCGTTGCCGGGGACTTAGAAATTAGCTGTTTTTCTAGATTGGACTTTTAATTTTGTCCTATTTTTTTGTATATATTTTTATTTTTATAACTATTTGACTTTTCTCTTAGTGTGTTTCTAGTTTTCGCAACATGACATTTGGGGATGAAATATCCGGAGGTAAGGTTATTGATGAAGACACTTGGTTGACGGAAGACTTTATGGCCCGTCTTTTTGGGCTTGTCATGACCTGAACTCTTGGAGATAGGAATTTGAATATGGGAGTAAGGGTTGGTATTGGGATGGATATTCTCGATTAGGCCAATATGCGGAACGACGTTGTCTTCTAACAACATTGGTGAATGATTGGTCTAAGGAGAGAGATGATCTTGCACATAAAATTGATAATTTTAGCTTGGTTGTGCATAACTTAGATGTAGATTTGAGTGCGAAGGTTGATGCGTGTAACGCCCAACAATTTAATGATGAGTTGTGTGAAGCCAAGAAAAATCTTCTAGACCAAATTGAGGAGCTAAAACGAGAATACCAATCATTAGACCATGTTTTTCTTGAGGATGTCAATATTGAGAAGAGTGCTCTAGAGTCATGTGAGGGAGTAGATAACATTACTTTGGGAGACTTGAGTGTGTGTATATATGGGGATGTAAATAGTAGTAAAATTTATGAGTTAGGGCGCATTAGACCTCATTCCAATCATTTTTCCACATTGTGTTTGGATAGTAAGATAATAATAGAGCCATCTGAGCCAATGAAGGGGTCAAAGAGTGAGGATGAGAGTGCCTATATTCTTGAATTTGTTGTGCCAAAAAGCGAAAATTACATTCCTCATCTAAAGGCCAAGAAGTGCAGAGTGAAAAAATTATTACTTGGCATAGTTATCATTGTAGCCCCACCACTGGAGTATAGCCGCAGACTGGATGCCATGTTAGGGGTACAATTCATAAGTTCAAAGTGGAGGAAAAAGTGGTTCACGTCGTGCCGCGACGTTAAATTAGGCGTTTGTTGGGAGGCAACCCAGCTTTACTGTTTTCTTTTATTTTTGATATTTTTTTCTTATTGTATTATTTTTGTTGTGTTGTTTTATTTTGTAGGATTTTGAGCATAGGGAGCAAAGCTATAGGAAGTGTGCAAAAGTGAGCCATGTGATTGGAACTAAGTGTGGGGTGCCCGCACAAAGGATCGTACTTGGGAGAAGTCTGAGTATCCCGTGAGCTGCGAATTCTTCGGCCTTTGGCCTACCAGGGAGTCTCTTTTACCTTATTGTTATTTTCAGTGTGCATTGAGGACATTGCACAATTTTAAGTGTGGGGTGAGGAGATTGTCCAGGTGACTTTCTGTGCTATCTTAGCTTAGTTGTAGTACTCATTTTTAGTGTAGTAGTTTTTGGTTAAAAAAAATAATAATAAAATCATAAAATTGGGACTTTTCCTGATGATGGATTTTGTGGACAGCTTTCTTGAGGGATTAAAGTCCAATAAGTAAAAATACCAAAAAGATTTTCTTTTTTTTTTAGGTAGTTAGGTAGCATCCCTTGGTTTTTCTTTCGACACCGGTTCTTTTCCAAAGGTGTAGCTCGAACCGGGTATTCTATCTTAGATTTTTTGTTTTTATTTTTTTATTATTTTTTCTTTCTTATGAGTAGGAAAAGGGAAATTGAGGTGCTTTGAGATACCTATTGACATGGTTGATGTTGGCAATTTAAGTTACGGCATGCGCTCTGTCTTTCTGCATATATGATTTAAATTGTAATGCCCAAGTAAAGTAAGTAGCCTACTCTTCGATGCCTTCTTCTCAGTTGATTGACTTGTATGCTACCTAGTGCATTATTGCTTTAAAATTCTCAACTTGCTAGCTTGCTTGACTTGAGAGTTGGACAGAACCATCTTGAGTGAGTCAAGTGCCATGTGTGTGTAAGGATTTTTGATACTCTGTGCTATCTTGTGTAGCTTAGAACTTGCCCCGTGTGTTAATCAACGCGAAATCATTAAGTTATGCTAGTCTAGGAGATGATGTAGGTGTTTCTTGCTTGACCATGAAGGTGCTTGTCACTTATAAATAAAATTT